GGAATTCATTTTTATTCAGAATATACAATTACAATGTTTTAAAAACATGTAAACATCAAAGAAATTATCCCGAAAGAACTGAAACGTTATACATTTTATGTATTTCATTAGCATCCTGTCGTCCCCGTCACTAGAGTAAATTATCTCGTTTTGTCGAGTTCATTGTCCGTTATGAAGAAATGTATATATTTCTACAATTACTGATACATAGGAAGAAGACTAGTCATTACAGTTTAGATGTAAAAACTCGTCAAAGCTACCAGGTTTATAATAAAAGATCTAGAGTCATAACTATGCAAATAAAATGTATGAACTAGAACACAGGCAATGACGTGTGGTTTACATCAAAGATATCAAATGTATGAAGATGTTGAGATTATTCAAGTCATATTATGAAACTATTAAGAAAACGACATTTGGTATTGAATTCGAAGACTGATAAAAGTACATTTTATAGAATTTACATACGAATGTGAACGAAATTACTTTCAAAGAAGTGAGGAGAGACAAAAAAACCTCACATGAAGATGTGAACATTAAATTTTTAGAAAACTGTTTCCTAGGTTTAGCTAGCTATAACACCAGGTTCAATCCACCATTTTCTACATAGGGAAATGCCTGTACCAAGTCAGGATCATGACAGTTGTTTTCCATTCGTTTGATGTGTTTGAGCTTTTTATTTTGCCATTTGATAAAGGACTTTCCGTTTTAAATTTTCCTTGTAGTTTGGTATTTTTTTTATTTTATCGTAATATATCTTATTGAATTGAATATAATTGTATTCTAAGTGCCATATCTATTGACATGTATGATGAGTGTGAATCAGGAAATAAGTAATCATAGGTTAATAATGTTAAATTTATGTAACTTAGCTTAGGTTTTGGCCATGTTTGGTATGCCCAGAATGTTGTATGCGAAGAACTAATTTTGAAATTATTCAAACAAAAGCGTATTGACCATTTTCTTCAGGAATGTAAAGGAATTGTATAATTAAAGAAAATATTTAAAACACGCCACAGATATAAAATTTTGAGGACAATCCTTTGATTGATTTATACTTTGTAGTCTTGCTTCCGATTGTTTTTAAAATCTTCTGTTATGATATACATGTATATATTTATGATATACCTATATAAGCTGTATTGCTTTTGGTTTGAAATAAACTATTAGACAATTAGAGAGATCCTTGGTACAACGTAGCATTAAATCAATTTCTCACTTGTTGATTGAAACTCTTAAGATTTATGTATCCAATAAAGACTAAATGCAAGCAAAACGTATTTAAGATCAAACTCCTTAATCCTTGTTAAATATGGAGTAAGGATAGCATTCCTTCTGCTTTCATTTCTACCCAAACCGTAATAAATGACTACTTCTTATTCAAATTTAAATTAAATGAAAAATTTAAAATAAAAGCAATAAATTTACTTGGAACAAAAATAAATCACTGATGTGGTAATAGCTTAGATACCATTAGTGTTTGTTACCCCATGATGGGTGAGTATTCCTTGTACTTCTTATTAGCGTCTAGTCTTGTTCAATATAGATTAGTGGGGCTTTCTTTTCCATGTTATTTACTCTATCAATTCAGTTACATTTAGCTTTGTTTTGTTTTTTTCGATATTGCGACATTTCGAAAAACTTATATTGGATAAACACATTTGGGTGTTAAGCATTTATCTAATATTTTCACACACTAACTATGCGTAGTGACAAAAGTAAAAAAAAATTATTCACAATTTAAACCATGCACTTACATTCATCTCTTGTTGATGATCTTGTGCTCATAAAAAAAACATATTATTTTATTCAATTTAAGGTGGAAAGCATTCAAAGTCCACTTTTGAAGAAGCAAATACATCACAAAAGCTCTTGGGAAGTTACAATAACAGTAATACATATACAATAACATATGTTCTTTTTAGATGAAAAGCCCAGTTTGGTATTAAGTAGGAAGTACATCACTTCCTTTATTTGATATTTATTTTTCACTACAACTGTGAAATGTCTGTCATTGAAAACTATTGTTTGCATACTTGACATATTCAATACACATATGATATTTCAGGTGGACTCAAGGGTATAAGAATATAACTTTCCAATGAATAAGGAGAAACAATAAAAGTTTCATTATATATTTTATATTGATCACCCGTATTATTGGAGCAATATCAAAACAACATAAAAGTCTACTTAAAACCGACCGAATTCTTATGATATACAAATGAAATAGTTCATTATCTTTCGGATATGGTTTAAATGTGCCATTTACAATGTCTGACTTTAAGGATGTAGGCACATAGCGACTTTACCAAAATTTATAAATGCAAAACACGTATGTCCCAGATATTTGCATGCCATTATTAAAAGATTAAGAGTTTCGTCAAATCTACACATACATTTACTTTAGACTTAAGACAAGATCGTATTTTCGGCAATTCTGCTACGGCGAAAATATTGGATTGTAACTAGCAATTTCTTCTATATCGATTGATGGTTTTGGTATTTGAGTTTGCTTTAAGTATATACGATCAACAATTTTTGATAGGGTAGTATTAATAATTGCGTTCCTGTACATGGACTAAGTCATCGTTTGGAACTGGTGTCAAAAAGAGGGAAAACAGTTCGATTAAAGTTATGAGACATTAAGACAGACCTCATGATTCAAAGCAATAATAACGAACAAAACATTTTTAAAATGTTGTGCGTCCGAATCGCTTTTTGGAATTTAACTCCACTAGGAATGCTCAAACCCAAAACATGAAAGCCAAGGAAAGATTAGTATCGAACCAAGTGAAATCCTCTATGACCAAAAGGGACCCAAAAAAAATAGCCACTTGCATCTAAGGTTAATTTTGTCTGCATGAAGCAGTTTCACAATTACATTTAAATTCAACAACGAGCGTTATAAGAAAATGTATGTTATAAATCATATAAGTACCGAAGTGCTGAGTCCCGAGCTGATGATAAACTCGGGGATTAATAGTCTACCAACCAGTGGTATTGACACAGTACTTAAATATGAAAATAACTCTTTACAGTATTTATGCGTCCGAAGTGCTTTTCTTGTTTTACTCTTCAGGAACGTTTAGAACTAAACATTTGAAAGCCAAGGAAGTATCAGTAACAAAACACGTGAAGAGCTATATATTACCATTTTTTTTTTATTATGGACTTGTTTAGTCAAATCTGCCAATGTGTTCATTGTAATAAAAAGAATGAATCAGATTTTATTTTGGGCACGCCTAAAGATTTTCTAGGACCATCGAAAATGTAAACATGATGACACACAGTCCGACATAATGCGCATATCCATGCCTTGAACATTATTGTATAGTTTATATTCAAACTGTTCATAAGTATTTTTTTTAGATACATCTATTTTAGTGTTCCATGTTGTGTTTTGTATAATGTTGTTTGTCTTTTTGTCTTTTCCTGTTTTTTGCCATAGCGTTGTCAGTTTATTTTCGACTATCTATAGTCAAGAAATCTGTTATGTTCATTAGTAGTAGTAATCGTCAACTTCATGATTGGATTCCTGTTTTGAAATTAAGCATCATCAGAAAAATTAAAGAGATTGTTTGATTTTTATGCATCTTCTCTTAGATTTTCCTATTTCTTTGTCAAGTTCTTTTATTTGCACGCACGATGATAGCTACTAGTATATTTGATAACGATTTCCAACACTATAAATATTTAAGGTAATACTACTATTTTCTCGCTTAACCTATTTTACAAGACTTTCAGAATAGACGAGTTCATAATTGTGGTTTTATGAATGAACTGCCCTGGTTTAGAAACGAATCATAAAACATCGTGAAGTGTAGATACTTGCATTGTGACCTCTTTTTTTCGGGAACATGCACTTTTTGATTTGGTTCCACAATTGGAACCGGAACTGCTTGTCATTTCGAGATGCTTGTGATCTTCTTTATTTGTATTTTAAGGGGTTCATCTTGCCTTTGCTTTAACGAATTGTGTTGTATTCTTGTTATTTTATTTATTAATGTATGTGTTGTTTCAATTGTGCTGTCTTTCGTTTGTATAGAAAACTCTGCTTTTATTTTAGAATTTCGTATTCGATCATGTATGAAGATAAGTGAATTTACATATATCATGGTTTAAAAATTTGGGAATGTTCTAGAGAAAGACAAGAGACATCTAACAATCCGTAAAGTGCCGTGTGATGCCTGGTCATCAGTCATTTTTATCAGCCGATTTTATGAATCTCTTGACAAATTCTTAAAACTTAAAAACTGAAAAAAGTCATAGTTTAATGTGAAATGCGACAAAACTAAAACCATGCAACACAAAATCCAATGAAAACAGTGAAATGATAAAAGATCAAATATGATTTAAAAGAGAAATGTAAAAACATGAAATCACAATAAAAGCTAGAAGACAGAAAATGATGACCGAATGTTATGGCCTGAAAGGTCTTTGTCCAGGTTAATACTATTTTTATACTTTTCTAACAAATTGCATCACTTCAGCACCTGTTTATTAATTTATTGTGATTTTGATATTACAGAAAGAATTTTTTTTTAAATAAAAAGAGATACATTCTAGCCCGGCTATTTTGCAAGGACTTATTATAGACAAAATTGAAAGCCCCTAGTAATCTTACAAGAAATCTAATTTATTTTGAATTCCGTATCGACATTTCCTTAAATATGAATTATATTTTGATTTAGATATATAAAGCTTTTCATGTGAAGTGTCCTAATTCATTTCATATTCCGTATCGAAATTTCCTTAAATATGAATTAGATTTTCATTTAGATGTATAAAGCTTTTCATGTGAAGTATCCTAAAATGTTTTACACCAAAACAATATTGTTTTGTACAGATAAAGGTACCTGTCGATGTAGATTTAAAAAAAAAACTACTCTGTTATTTCATCGCTTATTTTGAATGTATGACTGATGTAAACTGACCCCTGGATTTCGGGTGGAACTTTTAGAAGTCAGACGCAATTGTTTGCGTACGAAATTTTTTGCAGTCAGAAAGAAGAATTACCTTTCTCAATTTAGCATTGTGAATCTGCAAGAGATTACGCAATGAGGAGTATTATACACACTGTTTTAATTATTTAACTATTTAGAAAGCATATGTTAACCACTTTACTGACGATAATGTAATAAAACCTCATCACAGCATCCTAAATTATCTAAAATATGGATTGCTGCATTCTCAATAATTAATTGAATTAGTCAAATGTCAAATTGAAATGGAAAGTTCATTCAGTCAGAAATATATCTTTATGTTAAGTGTGGTTATTTGAGTATTTTTTATCTATTTGATTTATAGCACTGCAGAAACAACTTTATTCCTCCTAACTTGTTGTTTTCCTTCATTGTTCCTTTCTTATATACTAAATAGTCATTCATATCTGGTTATGTTCAATCATGACACAAGATTTATAAGGTAATTGTCCACATTGCACTAACAATTTGAATTCGTGTGTTAATAATTTAGATAACTGTAATACCATTCCAATATATTCATTGGCAATTCGGTACATGGATACCAGTATCACATATCAACGCCTAATCGGGTGCAATCCAGACACTATGATGGTGTCAAAACATGTGTATGTCCAGCTTGGAATGAGAGATTTTCTGGTTCCCAAGTATACAGGTAAGTAACATGTGAAAATGCTACAATCCAGATTGGGACATGGAATGAGACTCTAAACTTGTATGTAGACAAGGAGCTTTGATAAAGTGTAAAGTGTTACATTTGCAGTGTCTGTCTTTAGTGCTGATACAAAACTTTTGAAATTTCATTAAGTTTTCCTTTCGTAACAGAATATATACCCATGGATCTATTATTTGGTTCAGAGAAACGATCCTGATTATTATTAGTTCTATCTTTCCATTCCACTTCACTCCACTCTGTGTTACGTAGATATACACCTGCAATATAATACAGAGCATTTGGATAAATACGAAAAAATATGTATGTAATTTGTTACTTTTAATATGGATTGATTCTTTTTAATGAAAATTAAGTACACCTGCAAAAACAATGCAAAAAGACTCATCATTACCAGGCTTATAATTGTGTACGCTAGACGCGCGTTTTGTCTACAAAAGACTCATCAATCACAAATGAGGTCTGTACAATATTACAAGTTGGTTTTTGTATAAGTGAGACAGCTTATAGAATGTTGTTTCCACTGAAGCTTTCTTATTTGTCTCAAGTTTTAATCAGAAATACGGGATTTTTCTCGGGGGATGTGTGAATACAATTAACTGTCACGATACAATAATAAATGCAAGCAACTTTTCCATAATAAAATGATGTGAAATTTAAATCTATAGATTGACTAAACATGGTACTGTGCAGGGTCAGTGAAGTATTGCAGTTGTCTCTTTAAGCAGCAGCAAATTGACCTGAGTTACAAAAGGTTACAGTCATACTGTGTTAAATCAAACTATAATGGCGTGCATTATGCGTATATTCTCCACAATTCTAAAGATTTGTGTAGGCCGTCAAATCTCAGTAAATGTCAGTTTTCTGTAGCTATTTGAAAAGTTATATTATTTACACAAATAGATAAAAAGAACTTTATTCAGTGAGGTTACCATTGGAGCTGATATTTCTATCTACATGGAAATGAAACAAAAAATAACATAATGACATAGTTTAAGGAACTTTTAATGAAACACCTCTTACAAATCTGCATTTTTCCGTGTCTCTCTAATTCTTAGCCGATTTTTCCATTTCGTGACCTGTTGATTATTTTTATTTAATCAACTCGTTTGATCTCAGTTCTAAGTTCAATGACGAGACGTCAAATTTTCTTGCTTTTCTCTTAATTTCCCATTGTGACGTCACAAAAAAGGTAACCATTTCCTGATGACGTTACATAGAAAGAACACATCTTTTTTTCATATCATTGGAAAAGAATGATTAAATTTGTCTGCATATTGTCTAAAATTATTAAAGAAACTGATTCTACCACCAAATCTTGTGTATTTTGATATTTCTCAACTCTTGACAGTTGAATTTTCATTTAAAATGCTCGGCGTGCCTCGCGTTTTAAATTTGAAAATTTAACTGTCTCGAGTGGATAAATATCGTATCACACTCGATGCAGAGGTATAATCTATATTAACAGTAATTATCTACAGAGTGACGGAAGAGATAAAATTTCAGTGTTTTAATTTTCCATTCCAGATGCTGCTATATTGATGGTTTACTGTAATGAGCAATATATAAATCACCAGTAATAGAGGGATTATTGTGGCCTCCATGAACAATTCAAATGAATAAATATGGCATATATACGGCATTGAGACAGCAACCAAACAGCAAAATAACCAAGTTATATGTAGAAGGCAACATACGAAAACATTTTAAGGTGTCTACACAATATTTCAAGTTCTAAATGATCCCGAGTCTATATAAAATGTATGAATACATTAAACAGAATTAATCAAAGATTTGCTATTAATCCCCAATTCTCCAAATGAAAACAAACTTTACGATTAATGTCATCATAACTTAAACAAATCAATGTGTTATATCGTTCAAGATATGACCTTCGATTAACTCATCCGCTATTTTTTGAAATATTGTTTTTCTAGTATATCTTCAGTTAGCGTTGATAAATGTATCCCTTTTCTGTGTCATTTTTCTGTCTTTGACTTATCTTGCCTTACTGTGTAGGTTTATTTTGAATCCTATTTGATGTCCTTAGTTCGGTATATAGTGACAATCTTTTGTTTTCTTTTTGAAATATATGAACGCTGGATAGATAAATATGAGTTGTGTATATTTCTTATTTTGGCATCATCAAAACGTAAATACAAATACAAAATCTTAATTTTTACTGCTTGAAATATTTGAATTTAGACGAGGAAAAGTTATTGATTGCTTCGAAACATCCACATAATATTATTATATCTTGATCAAAATCTTCATTTAAGTACCGTTTGCTATATTTTATTTACGGGTCAACTTGAATTGAAATTTAATTATAATATACTAAGGCTAAATAAAAATACAATGTCATATAGATTTGGAAAAAAATATAGGTCTCATAATTATAAAACCTTTTTTTTTTATTTCAGACTTTTTATTAACTTTGATAAAAAAATAATAACTAATTAAAAAGCAATTTTTTAAACTAATTGCACTTTACAGATATAATACAAGATTGAATAATTTGTTGGATTTGATATATTTTTAAAACCATTCTGTATACGACTCAGTTTTTGTTCTCTATGATTTTTTTCTTCTAGACAACAGTGTATATGTCAATAAATCTAATCAGCTGATTATTCCCTTGGTAGTCCGTGAAATGTAGCAGGGTACATCAAGAGAAGCTTGGATTCTGGATGGTTTTTGTAACAACCAAGATTTAATGAACAAAAAGATATTGTTGTTTAAAAAACGATTTTTTTTCTTTTATATTCGTGGTATTCATAAAACATACTTTTTTTTTGGTTGATTCAGTATATAAGATTAACATCTAAAGTAATCAGATAATCAATAAGTTGGTGAACTTGACATTTTTCTCACATCATTCCGTTAAACTGACGTGAATCAGTTGATATAAACTTAAAGAATCATTGAAAATATAACCGAACTGAATTGTTTTTTCTCATCGAATGTGCGAGAATGAGAGAGAACCTGATGTGCAGCAAAGGACGTAAAATATGCTGTTATCTACTTCCCCTAAAAATCATTTGAAGGCAAGATTTTAATATTTCAGATACATGTTGTACTGTCTATTATTTTGGTGATTCAGTTCTCCTTTTTATCTATTATTTCTCGGAAAGCGCCATAGAGGAAAGAGGTCTTCATTACTCACAAATGTTTTAACTTCAATGTTGATAATTTAAATATGTATTTGATTAAAATCCTTTTTCTGTTTTTCATGATATTGAATAGGAATAACAATGTTTTCCTTATTTTTGAGCAGGAATATCAATGTTTGGCGTTTCATAATATAGTAACAAATATTTCATGTAGATCTTTTTTATCAAATAAAAGTGTAATATTTACAATAACTGATCTTTCTTTATAAATATCCCTTAAAAACATTGTTTGATTGGTTGTTGTTGAACGCCATTAAAGTATACTTGCATGTAAGAAGGTGAGACTGAAATAAAGAAGGTAGCGGAAATGGACATTGCGTCTTTAATGATGACATCAGATCTGAAGAAATGGGACAAAGTATGTTATCAGTGTTGCTGAAATGTTTGATACTATATTATATAAGGATTATTTTACTTATATCGTAAATAATACCATATGTCAGGAACATGGCAGTTGATATCAAATAGTTCGTTTCTATGTATGTTGGCGTTTGTTTTTGTTGCAGTTCAGTGTTTCTGTTGTTCCGTTGTTTTTCTCTTATAGTTGATGTGTTTCCCCGGTTTTAGTTTGTAACCCGGATTTGTTTTCTCTTAATCGATTTATGACTTTTGAACAGCGATATACTACTGTTGCCTTTATTCATACTGCTAGGGACACGTAATATCAGTACAATAACGCTATAATACTCTGCTAGAATAACAATCTCCATATGGCAAATCTTATACAAACTATTTTAAAGTTTTCATGGTAACATTGAAAGTTACAGGAGTTATGCAACAGAGACGTGTTGATGTTTTAACTTTTAAAATGTCCGGTTTTTGTTTAGTTTTGATTCTGTCTCCCCAACTACTTTACAGATACCGGTTTGGTATAGCAGCATGAACTTTATGTGGATGTCGATAGATAGATTGCATAGACTGAATTTCAAGATCTATCCTTTTGAGGGAGAATTACAATGTCTATTTTATTTTTTTCAGACATCAATCAGAAGTGTAGAAGATCATCATGTTTAGTTAATAAAAAACAAAAGAAAAGTTGAAAACATTTCATTTTTATCTAATGTTTCATTGCTCTATAATCTTTTTGAAGTGTGGCACTTTTCTTGGCATAACATCACCATATCATCTATAACTAAATATATGTGTTGATGAAAATCTAAGTACTTTTCAACAAAAAGACAATGATCAACAGACGTGCATGTATGATAGTGGACCTGCTACCTGCCGAATAACAAGTTATTCAGAAGTCTTAAAGGAGTTATTTCCATCCACCTCTATTACTACATCATATAACAAAAAAAAAATAGATTGACTACCAGAGTTTTTTGGTATTTTTCTAAATATGGGGGTGTATTTTGTGTAATAAAGTTCCAAGAAATTTATATTGTCATTTTTGAGGATATTACTTAGGTATTGACTATATTCGATATTATTATGAGTTAATGTTTCTATACAAAAGGACTGATTTCACTTATGAATATTTCAATAAACATGATCAGCCAGCCTATTGATAACTAAAATCAAATACAATGTGGTTTTTCTTTTATCATCTTAATTTAAGATTCGGTTTTTCATTAGTCCCTCTATTTCTGACTCAGTTTTCCGATTAGTCCCTCCATTTTAAAGTCTGTTTTATGATGAGTCCGTCCATTTTAGACTTGGTTTTGATCTATTATTCCCTCCATTTGAGACGCAATGTTCTGTTAAAACCTTCATTTTTACTTGGTTTTCACATCCTTTGAATATTTTGGTGCGATATATACGGTACCCATGTGCATGTGAAATCCAATTAAAACCTGTACAGAATACTTCAATGAGACAGCAACTCAAAAACATAGGAAAGAAGACAAATTAGGTAGGTAGGATCTTAAGTTCAATATTTAAACGGAAGTAAAGCCTGAAATACAGTTCTTAATCTATCTTCGACCGGTATCTATCATTAAAGCCCTCAACAAATGACCATTAAGTTTTTCCCTTGGAAGCTTTCCCCAACTTATTGTCAAATTAAATACGATGCTAAAATTTTAACTATTAGAATCAATAAGTAGTTTTCGTTTAACATGTTTCGATAAAAGGCTGAATGTTCC